ACTGCCCACAAACTCTCATTTATTCCTCACACCATCTCCTCCATGTCAACATCATCTCGGATGCCCAACTCCTCGTTTCCCATTCCGGCTCCACTCGACAACCTGGCTTGACATGTGATGTCCCCACATGGTCTTCTCAGTGCATGCACAATCCATCTCCACTTCCTTCATCTGCATATTTGTTGAGCGATAGCTTCTTGCTTTGTTGGTTCGTTCCCACAGCGAGCTCTTTGTTGCTTATTCTGATTATTCTGGCCATCTGAGCTTCATTAGCCAGTCAGTGTAAGCAGTTGTTGATTAATATCTGTAGTTTGTTGGAAATGCATTTCGTAATGCGCCAAGTCTCTCAACCATGACATGGGAGCACTGAGTTACTTGACTGACATTAGTGTTGAAAATCCGAATGTTGTTCATGCTTTATGCTGAGCGCGGAAGATCTCCATACTGGTTTCAGGTAAGTGAACATCTGTCTTGCTGTCTTTCCGATCCTGGCTGCTTTGACGTCCTCATCTGTGCCGTCGCCTGTAGTTGACACGATGCTGCCTGCCTAGATAGGTAGGCAGTTGAAAGAGACAACTTCCTTTATGTTTCTCCGGTTAATGGTGATTGATGCTTGCTGTTGTTGTTGTTGTTGGTTGGGTATCTTCATCACCTCCATCTTCTCTACATCCACCTGAATTCCTGTCTTCGCCGCCCTGTCTCTTCTGTCAACTTGTTGGTTTTCGCCTGTAGATCTTCGAGTTTGTGCGATATAAGACATTAGACATAAATCCTCATCGACGAAATCCGAATCTTCTTCTGGGGTCTTTTCGTCGGTCCAGACAGCGTATGCCCATCTTCTCACTCCTCACGGTTTGTTTCATGATATAGTCAACCAAAATCAGGAAGATCATGGTCAAATCGAGGATTATGAATAAGGCTTAATTGAGTGAAAAGTACGCTATACTTGCTAGTCACTTGTTGTATGTTATTGGATCACACTGAGACCTAGTATTTAAGTTAGTCATTTGGATAAAATAATCCTAAATTGTGCATTCTTAGTGATTGTGAAGGCTACTCCAGCAACTTTTGAAGTAACCAATTCTTTCGTTGATTAATTTATAGTACAGAAATAATGGCATATTGAGTTAAATCCCTCCTTTATTGTACACTATCTCTCAGGTAACTTAGCTGTGTGTAGAAGCGAATGAGATGACCTGAAATATCTGAACAGTAAGCACCAAACTTTACATTCTGTTGCACGAGATTGCAAGAGAGGACCGAATCCCATGACTGAACTTTTGGTTGAATTGAGCCTATGATACAGGGCAGGTACATTCGAGAACAACCATGTTCAAGGTCGCAGCGTTGAGATTGAATTGGCAAAAACGTGTGCTTAAAACAATTATAACCAGATAAAGTTATAATACTACTGACCATCAGCTAGAGAAATATTTCTACCTGAATGTACATGGTCAATTCTCAAGACATAACATTACCATCTATCTCAATATTACCAACTTAACCTTGGTAACTAGTTCACTAGTTACTAGACGGTCGTAATCTGGATAAACGGGGAAGGTTGGGTTAAGGTTTAGCAACCCACCACGTAAAACTAATCCAATCACTAAAGAAACTTCAAAGCACAAAGAAAATATTAAAAAAAACAATATTATTCCTCGCTGGAAACGGAGAGACGAAATGATGCCAGTTGGTGAAAGCCTTCGGGAAGCCAATTGGCCGATGTGTCTTCGCTTCTCTCGATGAAAACGGAAGTAAACGTGGGGACACGAAACGTCCGAACAATGTTTAAACAACCACGAGCACACTGAGTTTTTGAGTGGCTATCATGATGTCCCAAAGAGCATCGAAGGCTCTCACACAGTGTGAACCAATCTCCTCCACGATCATAACAGCAAGATTCAACTCAAAAGGAAGGAAAGTCACAATCATACAGTGCCAATACTATGCACCTACAAATAATGCCGATGAAGAGAAGGAGGAGGAATTCCACAGATAACTGCAATCAACTCTGGACAAGACCCCATACAAGTTGCCACCAAAATTCTAATGGGTGACATGAATGCCAAACTGGGAGCAGACAACACAAGAAGAAAACTTATCATGGGTCGAGAAGCTCTCGGTGAAATGAATGAGGATGGAGAACTGTTTGCAGACTTCTGCGTATTTAATAATTTGGTGATTGGAGTCAGTGTGTGCAAACACAAGGATATTCACAAAGTGACATGAATCTCACTAGACACCAGGAAACACTAAAAATCAGATCGACTTCTTCTCAATGTGAGGAAAGTGGAGACGCAGTCTACTGGACACAAGATCAGATCAAGAAAACGAGCAGATGCAGGTTCACACCATTGACTATTTAGTGCAAGGAACCTTTAAAATCAGGTTGAAAGCCTTCAAACAAGTTGGTGATAGGCCCCAGTTCAAGTTCAACATCCAGAACAGAAAATGAAGGACGAAACTACAAGAGATGTCTTCACGCCAGCCATCAGGACGAAATGGGAGACACTGAGCAACATCCCTGAAGAAACCTGCATGGAGGAACACTGGAACTCTTCAAAAGAGATGTGGAAAGAAACCTGAACAACTGTATTAGGAAGGAAGAAGAAAGAAGACAAGGAATGGATCTTGACGGACACATTGAAGCTGACAGAGAAGGGAGAGGGGGAGGAAGATGGTGAAGCAGAAGATGAACCAGTGCAATGCAGGGATAAATAACAAAATGAGGAACTGAATACAACTAATAAAGGTGCGCGGAAAGGCAAAAGACACTTCTACGACACATTGGCAAGTGAAGCAGAACAGGCTGCTGGTAGGAGAGACCTGACAACACTACACCAGATAACCAGGTTACTATTTGGGAAGAGATGAATGCAGACGAAAGCAATGAAAGATAGTGAAAGAAAGCTAGTTACCAAAGAGGAGAAACAAAGAAAACAATGGGATGACCACTTCAAAAAACTCTAGAACCGACCGTCACCACCACCTGCAGCTCATCCGGAAATACCACCACCAGACCAGCCACAGAATTATCAGTGAACACAAGCCCTCCGACAAAAGCCGAAGTCCTGAAAGCCATAAAGTTGATGAAATTTGAGAAAGCAGGAGGAACAGATGAAATTCCGCCAAAAGCACTGGAAACAGACGCAGAGACAATAAAGGACACGCTCCCATCACCATTGCAAAAGGTTTGGAAGGAAGGAAAGGTACCTGCAGATTGGAAGAAGATCTACCTGGTCAAATTTCCAAAGAAGGGAGACCTACGTCTTTTCATGAACTGGCGAGGAAACATGCTGCTGTCCACTCAAAGCAGGCAAAATATTAAGCTGCATCATCCTGGATAGACTGAAACATGCGCTGGATTCAGGAAGTACAAATCATGTGCGAACCAAATTGCAATACTACGCATCATCATAGAACAGAGAATAGAATGGAAGTCAACTCACTACGTCAACTTCATAGACTTCGAAAAGGCCCTCGATATCGTCAACCGAGAAGTAATTTGGCAGGTAGCTGTTTCAATACTACGGTTTTACGTCCAACAAACCTTTATCAACCCCATTCAACAGCTATGTGACTACCCTACATGCCAAGTGATCCACAATGAAAAGCTCAGTGATTCGTTTGAAGTGAAGACAGGAAACAGGAGTAAGACAAGGTTGCCTACTATTTATCACGAATCATCTTTTGATTGTGTTGTGGTCGAATAAACTGAACTGGATCATGCGACAGACAACTGTGAGGAGCGAGAAGATGGGCATACGCTGTCTGGACCGACGAAAAGACCCCAGAAGAAGATTCGGATTTCGTCGATGAGGATTTATGTCTAATGTCTTATATCGCACAAACTCGAAGATCTACAGGCGAAAACCAACAAGTTGACAGAAGAGACAGGGCGGCGAAGACAGGAATTCAGGTGGATGTAGAGAAGATGGAGGTGATGAAGATACCCAACCAACAACAACAACAACAGCAAGCATCAATCACCATTAACCGGAGAAACATAAAGGAAGTTGTCTCTTTCAACTGCCTACCTATCTAGGCAGGCAGCATCGTGTCAACTACAGGCGACGGCACAGATGAGGACGTCAAAGCAGCCAGGATCGGAAAGACAGCAAGACAGGTGTTCACTTACCTGAAACCAGTATGGAGATCTTCCGCACTCAGCACAAAGCATGAACAACATTCGGATTTTCAACACTAATGTCAGTCAAGTAACTCAGTGCTCCCATGTCATGGTTGAGAGACTTGGCGCATTACGAAATGCATTTCCAACAAACTACAGATATTAATCAACAACTGCTTACACTGACTGGCTAATGAAGCTCAGATGGCCAGAATAATCAGAATAAGCAACAAAGAGCTCGCTGTGGGAACGAACCAACAAAGCAAGAAGCTATCGCTCAACAAATATGCAGATGAAGGAAGTGGAGATGAATTGTGCATGCACTGAGAAGACCATGTGGGGACATCACATGTCAAGCCAGGTTGTCGAGTGGAGCCGGAATGGGAAACGAGGAGTTGGGCATCCGAGGTGTTGGTGACATGGAGGAGATGATGTGAGGAATAAATGAGAGTTTGTGGGCAGTGTTTGAGCTAGGTTCAAAAGATTGCTTAGAAGAGAGTTCAGTGGAGATGTGCTACTGAAGTTCTGTGTTCCATTAGGAACCCAAGGGACAAATAGTTGTAATAATAATAATAATCAATATTTACTGTCTAGAAAACTGTCTGATAACATGAAACTCCACATTTTGTAGTACGCGGAATCTCTTTTTAAGTTTAAGTTTCTATCATTCAGTCGATATTTAAATATAATCGTAGACATTCCCTATCAGTACTAAGTCAAAGATTGTTTCAGTTCATACTGAAAATGAATTGAAGTTTAAGATTTTCCACTTGATTCTCAAGGATTTTGTAAATGAAGCTTGTAAATAAATTATTTCGAATAATTCAATTAATTATTACTGATAAAATTAGATAATGAATAATTAACTTACTGATTGTGCCAATGTTCTTGGATTTTGACACAATGTCTTAACTTTTATATTAGCTGAAAAGATGAAATGAATACCAAGAAAACTAGTGAATAGTAAATAAAATATCAGAATTCAAGGTGAAATTGTTATTGAACTTCTTCACAACATGTTTATTTGAATACACAATAGACACAAGCAAACAAATGTGATCAGTAATCAGATAGTATGGAGATATCGATGTAGGACATCATCTGTTAATAGAGGTTGAGCAGTTCGACTCGGCATAGCAACAAGAAATCATAAGCATCAATAAACAATAACTGGTATTCACATTGTACAAAAGGTGGTTATCATATTCTAATGGTTTAGTGGATAACGCTTTGGCGTTTGAAGTAATGGATAAGAGATTCAAGTCTCAATGGGAACAGCATCATTCACTGGAACATAGATATATTCAGCTGACGAATCACAAATATGACGAAACACACATCCTGAATTCAACTGCTAGCCACAGCAAAACAATGTACAATACAGTAGATAAGCAGATAATAGTGAATGGCAATACTGATGTGCATTTTACAAGTTCACTGCCATCTACCATAATGTTTTTTCTTCATTTTATTGTTTACTTAAAAAATGGCTGGTTGAAAACATACTCAGACCTCGAATCGTCTTACCCCATCTCAGTAACAGTAGACATGGTTCAAAGCGTCCAAGCAATAAGGCAAAGAGGTCTATTAGTAGTGAAATAAGCATAAGACCGCTAGGCAGGAAATAGGACAGTAGTCGTTAAATATGTGGTACACCTTGCAATAAAACCGTCATTTGCAAAATGTGCTTCATTTCCTCTTCTGCTTCTTTCTTGATTTGCTTTCCATACGCCTGCGTCGTCTTTTGCGTTTCTCTTGGCAGAATCCTTACCTATTGCTGGAAATTTCCTATGATTTCTGCCACCCTCTCAACATATACTACTTATATCCATTCTTCTCAGCAACGCCCACTACAGTAGCATATAGAATCTAGATACATTAGGAATACTTTATGTCTCAATAATTACTCGCACAAACTTTACACAGTGATATTAAAAGCCATCCTAACAACTGTATTGATAACTATTTAAGGCTTTTTATTGTATGGAAAACTTGTATCTCAGCCAAAATACAGAAACCTGATGGGCTACTTTAGTAGTTGCTAGGGTGATCTTTAAAGTTACTCAAATTTATCAACGAATTCATAAAAAATCCTAATAAAAATATCAGTAGTAGCAGTAGTAATTGCACCAACTGCACTACTAATAATAATAGTGGCAGTACTAATGGTTATAGAGTGGATAGAGAATTTAAAGTCTGTACTGTGCTATTGTACAAAGAAGGCACCTCACAAGCATTACAATGATTTCTGAATAAGACTGGTTGGAATTAATGTGGCATTTAAACCAACAAACTCAATTAGAAACAAGTCTTGTAGATTAAAAGATCCTACTCATCCAATTAGGCAAAATATTTTTCGTTTACCAAACCCTTTGCAATGATTGCGAGGTCAAATACATTGGTGAAAATAGTCGACCAGGGTCAACCAGAATAACAGGCACAAAAACTTAGCTAATCAAGATTAGATCCTAATAACATAGGAAATCTAGAGAAAGCTCGGCTACAACTCTGCATGCAATGACACACAATCACACACTAGGGTGGGATAGGGCGACAGTATTAAGAAGTAACTTAGGTGGTTGAAGTTTTAAAGTTTCAAGATAAAACATATAAACAAACTGAAGGTGTTTTCATGGGATTCCCCATCGTTGCAGACATATTTATGGGTAGTTGGGAACAGTTGGCCCTTCAAGCATTTAGTCCTACTCCAAAGATACGGTTCCGATATGTAGATGATGCCTTTGCAGTACTGAAATTGGAACACATCAATAGGTTCTTGGTACATTTAAACTCAGTAGTGAATGGAATCCAATTTGCCTGTGACTTAGAAAGTGATGAAGATGAGTTAGCAATGCTGGATTGTAAGATTAAACGAACACGAGGTGGACGTTTAGAGACTAGTGTCTATAGGAAACCTACCCATTCGAATCGCTACTTAGACTTCAAATCCTCCCACCCCATTTGAGTTAAAGTAGGCCTAGTTAAATGCTTAGGTGATAGAGAGAAAAAGCTCACTAGTAGATCGGAAAATCTGCGACAAGAAATTAGACACATCAAGGGTCTCAATAGTTACCCACCAAAATTTATAAATAAATTCATAAGAAATCGAAAGAAAAATATTAGCAGTGGTAGTAGTAGTAGTAGTAATGTAGGTGTTATTAATAATAATTCTACTACTAACCATAATAATGGTGACAGGGTTGAGATAGAATTCAAAGCCTCCACTGTGTTACCATACAAGTAACGCACCTCAGGAGCATTACGAAAAGAATTCTCAATAAGGCTGGAATTAAAATGGCATTCAAACCAACAAACTCGCTTAGAAACAAGCTTTTTAGGTTAAAAGATCCTATCGATGCAATTAAGCAAAATAATCTGGTTTACCAGATCCCCTGCAATGATTGCAAAGTCAAGTACATAGGTCAAAGCAGTCGACCAGGGTCGATTAGAATGACAGAGCACAAAACTTAGCTAAATCAAGGTTAGTAGATCCTAATAAGATAAGAAATCTAGAGAAATACTCGCCTGTAGCTCTGTATGCGATGACACACAATCACACAGTACGATGGATAGGGTGACAGTGTTGAAAACTAACTTAGTTGGGTGAAGGGAGAGAGTGATAATCGAATCTTTGTTTATCGAATCAACACCAGACACATGTGATCTAAACGATTCTGCAACTGTCTCAGATATATGGAAAATTCTACTACCCTTTTCATTACAGAGAAGGAGAGAAAGTGATGACTACATAAAGTCTGTCTCGAACTTGTGGAGTTACCTGGTATGAATATGGACAATAAATTGTGTCCGAAACGTTATCCAGTAAACGCTACTGTTTCACTGTGTGACATTTCTAATAAACAGATTAAAATGTAATTGAAAACATTTGTTTCCCGATACAAATTTAAGATAAGCACAAACGTAATTAAAGCGAGATTTATTGAATTCATAAATCTCAGTAGGACTCTTCACCTTTTTACTCTACATACATAATTTAATACACTGTTAAATGCAATAAAGGAATATATATACACATAGAATATAGACTAAGACATTGAATGTGACACGATTTGGACAATATCTTCACTTCAAAAGTTTTGTTCTGACCCGATATAAAAGGAACTTAATGAAAACCTTTTTTGATGAAGCAAAGAAAATTTTCTCTGAGTATACCATTGATTATGAGACAAAAACATTGAATCATACACATCCTAGCTAAAAATGAATACTTTGAAGGCTTGGTTAATAAGTATTCGGAAGGTAGACAATGCAAAACAACTATTCTTAGAGTTTCAAAATAGTATTTATTAAACTAAGACAATGCCAAAGTAGTAGTAGTAGTAGTAGTAGTAGTAGTTAGGCGGAGACTAGACAAGGTCATCAAAAGGAACTTATTATGCAGCTACGCTGGTACTTCTAAGTACCATCAGGCAGGTGATGCAGCAATCAGGAAAAGACATAACTCCAGTCGTCTACCCATCTAACTGTAGATATCATTCGGATGTACTTGTGGAAGCAAATACATAGGTCATAATGAAAGGTATCTGTCTACTCTCATGACTGAGCATTTACCTAAATGGTTGAGACAAACCAAGTCAAAAATCTCGCGGGGTTCGATTATGAAACACGTAATGGAATATCGACATCATTTTGACACTGCTAAAGCCTTCTCAGCAGACAGTGGTATAAGAAAGTGCTTGCATTTGTGAAAGCATGTGGGATTAGAGATCATAAACGGAGCCTAAGTGTACAGAAAGAGATGGCAGTCACCTTGAATATACCACAGTAGGTGTGTTGAAGTATTTTGAACTTATTTATTCTTATTAGTGTCTTGTTTTTCCACTTCATTTCTTCCTCTGTTTCGAATAATCACCTCATCACTATCCTTATTCTGTTGTACTATCATTTCCTCTTGAACTTCTCCGCTTATCTCCACTGTTATTGTCATGATTATCGTCTAACTATTACTCTAGCCTCCCTTAGTTTTACACTGTTACTAAGCTTCTTAATTGATGTTCATTCACCTTGTTTCAAAACGACGTAATTTTTAATCTTTTCAATACTCATATTCTCATTGTTATCTTCATTACTATTATCACTCTTATAGTAACACCAACGTTCCCTCAGTGTACTCCTTTATCAATTAACTAGTAACCCAGTGGTTCTGGTTTGACATCCCCGCGGTGACATGGAGGAGATCTTCAGTTATCATCCAGTACCAATACTAATTATTCTGTTCAAAATAATATAATCCATCCTTAGTATTTTTATTATTCATCATCAATTGGTTATCCCTTAATCTTAATTCTTGAATATTCCTCATTAACTTTCATGTATTTCTTCTCCTTCATCTTACAAATTTTTATCCCCTTCACTATCAACTTTTTCTATACACTTTTTTTTGTACACTGCACAAAAGTACAACCATATGAAGCGATACACTTCTGTGTCAGTTTCTTCATTGAATCACTTTAGTTAACTGTGTACTTGGTTTATGATATACAGTCAGATAAATTGAGAAGAGGATACAACCAAAAGCTTAGAAAGACAATATACTCCGAGATAGCATAAAATCCCTTTCTGTGACATTTTTTTAGACTACCTTCTTTTAACATTAATGATGAATAGTGGCTAGTAGTGGAATCCAGGGAGCGCATTTCGTCCTATTTGGGACTGGTCAGCAGGTACATCCAATTGATGAGTCCCAAATAGGACGAAACGCGCATCTTGAATTCTACTGCTAGCCACTATTCATCATTATTAGAAACCTGAAACATAGATAATAATGATGCATCCACTTAGGAGCCTATATGTCGACAGACACCGATGGAATTCGATCCAATCAACGATAGGATAATATATAAGTTACAATATTATCCTTTTAGTATTTCACCTTTTCTATCACTTTTTATTTTGCTTAGAAA